CAGGAATAACCTGAACTGAGGAGCAACCTGGCCATGGATGCAGAGCTTCAGCTGATTTCAACACACTGACACCAAAGGAAGCTGGAGCTCTCCCCATGCTGTACAGGGGCTCTGCAGAGAGCTCACAGAGGAAATAAAGTGTAAAGCAAAAAGCAGAAGCAAATGTGTTTGCCAGCCCTGGAGAGGCTGAGAAACTGAGCAAGAAAGCACCGGAGTCTGTGGGGGGAAGATGGGGGCTGCCTGGTGTCAGGCCATTCCATGACATATCTATCAGCCCTGGTGAGGGCAGCCAGCACCACCACAGTGGCAGGAAACACCTTCACAGGTTATTAGAAACCAAGAAGCACAACAGAAAGCTTCCCCTGCAAAACAAGCATGATAAAAAAAACAAGCTTTCTAAAAGCCAGGTCTGGAAGTGAAGTCAGATTGCACAGGTTAGGAAACACAAGCATGAGGACAGAGAAATTGGGATGTGTTTGGGAGCAGAGATCTGGGTTTACGACCTCACACTCTCTCAAGTCTGAGCAAGCTCCCTAATTTGGAGCAACCTCTGGAAAAGAAGTAGGATTGGAGGGAATGCCTGCCATGTAATAATCAGTAGTGGCCATATTTTTATTTTAATTGACATTTCATGTCTACAGAATTGATATTTCAACTCCACAAGAAAGCAAAATTAAAGCAAGTGAGACCGTATGGTCAGAAGTACAGGTATGGCTCAGGTTAGCATTTACTCTGGGGATACAAGAGCTGAAGAGACTCAAGCCTTCTGCTTTTAACAAGGCTGTTACAATTTCTCTTGAGAAATTAGAGGTAATTTATTGGGATTCTTCTGCACCTCAGAAAAAGTCTCCTGTATCCTTAGCACCAGCAAAGGATACACTACCCTAAGGTGCACAGCATGTCCACAGCTCCTATGGAGGATCACAAGGAGTCAAATGAACCCAGCACTTCCCTGAATCACACTCCAAAACAGAGAGGCAGGACAGGGAAGGCGAGAAGAGACCTTGCAGAAGCGTGTGGTGATATGAGGCCTTTCGTTCCACCTTCAACTCACACCCTCCATAGCCCTTTCTCTTCTGTCAGCATTTTCCACACCTGCTAGGACTTCCATTCAACCAAAAACTTTAAAACCCATCCCATTTGGATTACTAGTGATAGGATAGGTTGCAGTACGAGCCCATGAACTGTAGCAGGCTTCTGCTGAAATTACACTGCAGCTGTACTGAAACCAGCCTGGGACAAATATACTGAGCAGAATTTGCCTGGACACACAATGCCACCCAAAGGAACATTTGCCTCCCTGATGCTGCTGCAGTTCAGGTTGCTCTCTGGACATTGCTGGCAATGGTTTAGCTTTTGGAAAAAAAAGACTATTTAGGGTGTTTGAGTTGCAATATACTGCACTGGAAATCTGTCCTACCTACATCTCTGAGAGCTACTTATTTCTTTGTCCATCCTTTACAAATGGCTCTATATAAGAGCCCCCCACATCGCCCCCAAATCCCAGGGGCTCCTTGAAGGCTGTACACAGACTGTAGGGTCTGCTCACACGGGAGCAGGTACAGAACTGCAGCCTTAACTCAGGTCTGCCATGAGTTTGTGCATGATTTTGTTTGCACAGACCACTGCCCTGAGGAAACAACAGTGGCATCCGTGGTACTCAGCCCAGACTCCTGAGCCCTCACGCGTGAGCTCCAATGCAGGACTCGCCTGCACTTCCACGCCATTCCCTTCCTTCCCTCTGCCTCCATCACCAGCCTTCAAAACATTTTCTATTTTAACACTGTGACCTGCCTCTCCTGCAGTGCCTCCCTTGCTCCTCAGCTCCTGTGATTTCCAGGTCCCTCTCCTCTACTACTTTTTGTTTCCACACTCACCGGCTGCCTCTTGACACTCAGCCAGTTCTTCCATAGCAGGATCCTCAAGTGCTGAGAGAGCGCAGCCATCCTTGGCTGACCCAACCAAAAACGAAGGGGGCTGCGTATTCTTCCTCCCCAAGCTTAGGAGGCAAAAGCAGAGGCTCTAACCCAAACGGGCATCCAGTGTCCAGTATCCAAGCCCCTGCCTCTTCCCCACAGCATTGCTCTGAAGCAGCTACTTCATCCACTCGTGGCTGCTGTACTCCCGTAGCTCTTGTCCTCACAGCAATAGTTCCTAGCAAATTCAACAGGTTATTCTTCTCCAGGCAGGCAGGCAGAGCAGCCTGCCTCCACTTGTGTTAATTACAATATCCAGCCTCTCCTGGCTGCTCGGTGTTCAAGCCCTAACCGATAAAATGGATAGCATTCCAAAAAGATGCTTCTGCTTAAACAAAAGGTGATGCATGCCTCCTACTCCTCCCCATGATGAAACTACCTGTCTGCCCACACACTGCTTCTGCTGGAAAGGTGTCATCAACAGCAAAGAGTTAGGCCACTTGCCAGGCCCGTTTGACTTCCCTGAGTTCACAGGGAATGGCTGGAAAGAAGAAATTCTCCACAGCATGCATCTTCCTGGCATTGCTGATTTGGAATTAGTTGGGGTTTTTTTTTTTAATACTTGTCAATGTCTCAAATCTACCTATCCAGTGAAATGAAAGAGTTAAAAAAAAAAAAAAAAAAAAAAATATATATGTAAAAGAAAATTCTAGGGACTGATCTAATTACTCAGCTTCCTGCATCTTCCCTTTCCTCCAGGAGATCAGTCCTGGGGTTCTCAATGATTTGATATATCACATCAAATCCACTGGGAATGAGATTACAAGATCAGACTCCATAAAGATTTCAACACTAAATTTTTCAAGCTTGTGGTAAGATATCTAATAAAAACAGCTAGAGATTAAAGAAGAGAGTAAACTACAGGTACAGAAGGAAGCAAGAGGGGACTGCTCATTGTACCAAGGACTGTAAGAAATCTGAGTTTTGGAAACCAGATACAGGTTTGTTTTATGAGCTATGGTGCCCCTTGGGAGAGTAGCATGTACACCCAAGTATCCCATCTGCTCACACTGAGATCGTCCTCCAAGTGCATAGGCAAGCCATGGAAGACTTCACTAATCTCAGCATATTTCATGAGAGATCAAAAAAGATTCTCCTACCTGGCATTTATTTCAGTCACAAACTAACTTTGTGCCTCAGAAATTAGAAACATCCTGAATGAGTCCTTGCCAAATTTCACCCAGGGACAAAAGTGGAGGCGGTAGCCCTGCCATCCAGAATGATCTGGGAGCAGAGGAGCTTTAATCTAAGGGTTGTGCAAAGCACCGAGTGAGAGGAAGAGAGAAGGGAAAAGAGAGATGTGGTACTCAGTGAAGAGAAACAGCTTCTTTGGACTAATTAGGAGTTACGTGAAAGGTGGAAATAGCAACAGAGATGGAGCAGTCCCTGCCCCACATACCTTCAGTCTAAATAGATTGGACATTCCAATGGTGGGAGTGGAGCTGGAGCTAAAATGAGCCTAAAAGGCCTCCCTGATATAGTTTTGGTAGCAATGGGAAAGAAACACAAATGTCTAACCTCCCAACTCTACATTCACATTTTTTTCTACCAAATATCCTTAGGAGAGAGAGCGATCTCGTTTGGGTCTGTGAGTCAAGAGCAAGCACTGCTCCTCAGGACCCTGTTCTACTTCAGCTACATGTAAGAGGCACAGCCAAATTCATTACATTTGGTCCAAACTTGATTCACTTCCTCTCTGGGGCTGAAAAAAGAAATCCAAATATAGATAATTCTGCTCTGAGGGGGTAAGAGAAGCAATTTATAATTCCACCATTCACTGCTTTGCCAAGGTCTTTTAAGGCAAGCGTCTGATTGCTTCTTTTTGGTATTCAGTCAAAAAACTGTTTGAAAAGAACAGTGTGATTTGGATAATAATTTTCCCAAGCAAATGCACATCCTCGCTTCCTTTGTGAAATGAGTCAACAAACATTTTCCTTGGGAAGTACCCAAAGGGTAATTTGTTCGAGTTCACCACTGTAAAACCCGAATAACTCAGTGTCAATTGGCTCTTGGAGCACCTGCACTCGGCTCCCCAAACACCACACTGTTCCAGTTTGAGAACACAAGGTGAGAACTTTATTAAGCCATAATATCTTTTTGCTTTTTAATTCCTTTACTTAACAATTCCTAGAGATGGCTGTGCAACTACATGGCCACTGCTGGACAAAGGTCCAGATGTCCCAGTGACAATGCAAATGTTCATATAGGCAGAGAAGGAGAGGAGGGAAAGGCCAAATTCTTCCTTCTCCCAATAAATCCCCAGTTGCTTTATTCCTCTGGTTGAAGTACTAGGGCTCTTCTGGGCTAAGGAGCAAATTGTTGGTTCAGGTCACCGGGAAGAAAAGTGGAATCTCCCTCTGTGACTGTGAAGCTGACCGAGGAAACCCTCGGAGGAGCTCTGAGCTGTGATTTTATTTGACACAGGTCTTCAGAGACATGACTCATGTTGGCTATGGGCTCACAACGCCATGCAGGGGCTGTAGCCTCCAGGGCAAAAGGACTCCCTATGGAGCAAGAACTCACAAACTGAGACCTTCCCTTGGGATGTTCTTTCAGGTAGAGAGGAGTTTTTACTTCAGTAAAAATGAATATATTCATGCTTCCCAGGTGTGCTGAGTTACCTCTATGAGAAATGAAAGCTGAGGGAAGTGATGCAAGACAGAATTGGTAAGAGAAGAGGATAAAGTCCATGAGTGAACTACCTGCAAGAGTGCTGGAAATATGCCTTCAGGAGGACATGCCCTTATGGGATCTGCTGTATCAGGGCCAGCAGCACTGTGCAATACAAGGGAGGGATCTGTGAACAGATAAAACACCAGGGGCTCTCTCCTAACGCACTGGGAAGACAAGAAGAAATGGCCAGCCTTATAGTTAATGTTTCACTAGTTGCTTGGTCAAACCAGCAGGTCCACGCAGCAGAAAGCTAACAGCACCATAAAACACACACAGATATCTGCTCATTAACACACTTGGCTTTTAAACACAAGTGTAGCTGGAGCAAATCTGACAGGGCAGAATATTTACCCCCTTGAAGTCAAGAAAGAAAAAAAACTATTCTGTTGGCTACCAGGAAAAAAAACCCAAACCAAAACACTAATCTTGCTACAATCAACCAGCAGCAAAAACTTCCAGAGGCACACAGGTGAACAGTGGTTAGATGCCCTCGGGGGCCTGGAGGAGGAGAGACCACAGCAGCAGTGAGCAAAGAAGCATAACCAGATTAACTACCATGACAGAGAAATACATGCAAAGCAGAATGAACTGGAGGAGATGTGCAAGGGAGCGATGGGCTAATGCCGTGACTCATGAAGAAGCAGGACTCTGAATTTGGTATTTTCCAGTTTGCAGTGTCTTTAGTTGCTGTGTTTAGCTCAGGAGCAAGTCCAGACTGCTACAAATGGGCTTTCCTCATAGCTTGTGTAACCTAATATTGACCAAACGTTCCATATACTCTCTTTAGAGATCCCAGAGATGCATAGACTTTTGCTGTGATCTCTTATCCACAAACCCAGCCAGGCCAAGGACTGCTGAGTGAGCCCCACACTCCTATATGTGTGCTGGAGGGGACCCACAGACCAGTGCTGAGCAGACCTACCTGCTTAAAGATAAGTGCACGCTTACATAGAGTCATAGAATGGTTTGGGTTGGAAGGGACCTTAAAGCTCATCCAGTTCCAACCCCCCTGCCACCAGCAGGGACACCTTCCACTAGACCAGGTTGCTCAAAGCCTCATCCAGCCTGGCCTTGAACACTTCCAGGGAGGAGCAGCCACAGCTTCTCTGGGCAACCTGGGCCAGTCTTGTTTGACAGCACTTTGCTAAGGTCCATGCACTAGCAAGGCGTTACAAAATACAAGTGCCACCATTTCTACCAGAACAGAGACACAGCAAGAAAAGCCTTCATGCAACAGGTACAATTAATTTTCTGCTCAAAGCCCTTGGCTGCTCATTTTCATGGAGCAGCCATCTGTCAAAGGGCAAGCCTTCAAACCAAGTCCAAATTTTAGGATGCTTTGAAACCAGAATGAATAGGAATCAAAGAACATCACATACCCTTGCAGTACCAAGGGAGGTAAAAGGTAAAAGTCTACAGCCAACTTATAACACTGTGTTCCTCACAGGTAGAGAAGCAGTTGCCTGAGGACTTGACAACATTAGGCAACAGGGTGCACAGTGCTGGATGATGCTGAAACAGCCTAAGACACTTGTGCAAACTGCAACCCCATTTGCTAAATGATAAAAGAGGCTTTTGTTGAGCAGCCCACAGCATTCCCCAGTGACAGACTGTGAATACTCTCTGGGTCACTCCAAATTCCTTCCAGAGGTATTGCAGGAGCCTAGAAATGTAAATCCCTCCACATTTCCTGGGTGCCTAATTTCAGGCACCTGAACAAAGCACTGCTTTTAGAGAGGTGCTCACTCAGCATTTTGGAAAACAAAAAAAAAAAGTCAGAGCCCTCAGAAAAACTAAAATGAGCAGCAATATTTCTAGCCAGTATGGAAACTGCGGGTGATGTGGCATCACACAGGACCTCTCTGCCAGCAGCAAAGACATTTACACAATTTATTGTTGATTTTTTTTCTCCTCATTAAAATGCATTTGCAAAACAGTCCCTCCTGGAAGCAGTTGTCCCTCCAGTGGTCCACAGTCATCAATTAGCTGTTGTCACACAGGACCCACTCCAAAGAGTTCAAGGAGAACTGTGCTGCTTGCTGCTGATTTTTGGCTCAAAGCCCTAGCATATCAACTGCTTATTTCTACAGAGCAGCCTTGTTTCCAGGAACAAACCTCTCCAACCAAGAGCGAGTTTTGGGATACACTGATATCAGAGCAGTTAAGCACCAGAATTAAAATATCTGAGCTTCCTGCAAGTGAATTAGAGGTACCACAGGCTGAAAACATTTGGGATGGAATTTTCAGAACTGCTCATAATTAGGTTTTTTTTCCTCTTCTATCACAACATTCTGCAG